AAGATTTCAGCATCACTGTTTTACAATTATCTTAGAAAATACAGAAAACTAGAGTCACATTATGATTTCAGCATCACTGTTTTACAATTATCTTAGAATATACAGTAAACTAGAGTCACATTAAGATTTCAGCATCACTGTTTTACTTACAATTATCTTAGAATATACAGTAAACTAGAGTCACATTAAGATTTCAGCATCACTGTTTTACAATTATCCTGACTCTAGTTTACTGTATATTCTAACATTAAGATTTCAGCATCACTGTTTTACGTTTACTGTATATTCTAAGATAATTTCTAGAAATCTTAATGTGACTGTAAAACAGTGATGCTGTTTACTGTATATTCTAAGATAATTTATAGAAATCTTAATGTGACAGCATCACTGTTTTACAATTATCTTAGAATATACAAAGTAAACTAGAGTCACATTAAGATTTCAGCATCACAGTTTTACTTACAATTATCTTAGAATATACAGTAAACTAGAGTCACATTAAGATTTCAGCATCACTGTTTTACAAATATCTTAGAATATACAGTAAACTAGAGTCACATTAAGATTTCAGCATCACTGTTTTACAATTATCTTAGAATATACAGTAAACGAGAATCACATTAAGATTTCAGCATCACTGTTTTACAATTATCTTAGAATATACAGTAAACTAGAGTCACATCAAGATTTCAGCATCACTGTTTTACAATTATCGTAGAATATACAGTAAACTAGAGTCACATTAAGATTTCAGCATCACTGTTTTACAATTATTTTAGAATATACAGTAAACTGAACATTATTCACAAAACTTACCCATTCACATGTAACATTATTGACAAAATCTTACCCGTTCACATGTAACATTATTGACAAAAACTTACCCATTCACATGTAACATTATTGACAAAAACTTACCCATTCACATGTAACATTATTGACAAAAACTTACCCGTTAACATATAACATTATTGATAAAAACTTACCCATTCACATGTAACATTATTGACAAAAACTTACCCGTTAACATATAACATTATTGATAAAAACTTACCCGTTCACATATAACAATCCATTTTCCTTGGCAAGTTGTAATGCTTGTTCTTTCGACTGGAATAAAGTTTTTATTATTTTAATCACAATTTACTGGTTCAGCTTCTTTTCATAGAAAAATTAATTCTAAGTTGAAACAAAATTCATTATCGAAGTAACACAGCTTTAAAATATTGTAAAAAAACAATATCCGTTACAACTTCTACTGTATCTTAACTAAATGGTAACAAACCATCATATGTCTAATGAGGATCATTTAAAGCATGGAAGTAAAGACACCTGTAATGTTTCATTACGACTCTATATTGTAAAGGAAGTTATAAACATGAGAGTCGAAAAAGATCACCTCTCCAATGTCAGCTCCCTTAATAATGATGTTAGCACCAAACTGTTCACACATAGTTATCTTCATGATTGGTGCGATAATAGGCATCACGACTGTCACTGGAATACCTAGTTTCTGCCCGTGGTAACTCAAAGCCAGTGCATGGTTTCCAGCTGATGCAGCAATCACTCCTTTATGTTTCTGTTCCTGTTGGGAACAAAATTTATACTAAAAGATAGAATCCTTCCATAGACCAGAGTATGAATCCAGGTCTAGAGTTTTCTCTCAATTAAAAAAACACTAATGACATTATTACTGTTTTGATGAAATTCAAACACTTTAAAAGTAATCAAATTATCATCATGGGAATGTTACACACCATAAATATCAACTTTTATTTACCAATAATTACAATTATAGATAACATGAAATAACAATAAGAGAAATAAATAATTTTTGTAAGAACAAAGTTAGGCTTTATTGTTTATTTGTAGTTAAATTAAATTGTGTTTTAATAACTTAAAAATTTAATCTCTCTAGTGTAAGTCTACCTACTGGTGACATCATCATCAACATGTACAAGTGTAAGTCTACTTACTGGTGACATCATCATCAACATGTACAAGGGTAAGTCTACTGGTGACATCATCATCAACATGTACAAGTGTAAGTCTACTTACTGGTGACATCCTCATCAACATGTACAAGTGTAAGTCTACTTACTGGTGACATCATCATCAACATGTACAAGTGTAAGTCTATTTACTGGTGACATCTTCATCAACATGTACAAGTCTACCTACTGGTGACATCATCATCAACATGTACAACTGTTAGTCTACTTACTGGTGACACCATCATCAACATGTACAAGTCTACCTACTGGTGACATCATCATCAACATGTACAAGTGTAAGTACACTTACTGGTGACATCATCATCAACATGTACAAGTGTAAGTACACTTACTGGTGACATCATCATCAACATGTACAAGTGTAAGTACACTTACTGGTGACATCATCATCAACATGTACAAGTGTAAGTACACTTACTGGTGACATCATCATCAACATGTACAAGTGTAAGTCTATTTACTGGTGACATCTTCATCAACATGTACAAGTGTAAGTCTACTTACTGGTGACATCATCATCAACATGTACAAGTGTAAGTCTACTTACTGGTGACATCATCATCATCAACATGTACAAGTGTAAGTCAACTTACTGGTGACATCATCATCAACATGTACAACTGTAAGTCTACTTACTGGTGACATCATCATCAACATGTACAAGTGTAAGTCAACTTACTGGTGACATCATCA